CCTGGCAGAGGAAAAGAGAAGGCTCTCTGCTCACACAGAAGCCGGTGGTGAAGGAGGGAGGAAGAGTGGAGCAGGGCCTCAGCACTCAAGCTGGAGGTGGACAAATTCGCCAAGAGAGCCTTCACTTGGATGGAGGAGACTCTCAAAGAGGGTTTTCCCCCCTCCTGGTGGTATACCCTTGGGCCAGGAACAAATGCTGCTGCAGGAGACGGCACTCGGCCTGAGAAAATGCCCATTTTGATACCAGAGAGGTATGGCTCAATACTGCCATTAGTGCTGCTAGTCCCCAAGGCCATCAGGTAGAGCAGGGACACAGAAGAACAGAGGCAGAGAGGGACCTAAAGAGGTGAGGTTTTCAGGGATTAATGAGGAAATCATTAAGCCTTAAAACTGATTGTGGCTGGGCACTGTCCCTTGCAGCACCTTCCCTTGCTGTTACAATCAAACATGGCTGTGCATGTATGCTTGCATGCACAAATGCACACAGAGTGAGGTTCAATGTAGAAATGGAGAAACACTGAAGAGGTGAGAGTAGCTGAGGGGGTAAACGGACGTGGGTAGTTCTGTAGTCAAGTCAACGTGAAGGATCGAAGAGAGTGGACACAGGTGGGTCACTCACTGCTGGAGGCCAGGAGGTGTGAAGCAGCACGGGGTCACGTGGGGTGTCAGGTGGGTGAGGTTGTGCCACAGTAACAAGTGTCAGAAGAAATGTGTGGTAGAAGAGTAAAGGGTGGGGGTGGGGTAGGAAAAAGGTGAAAACAGAACAAGAAACAAACACAGAAGATCATTATTCAGGTTGATATCATCTTGTGATGAAACAGGTTGTCATCTACACACGATGACCACACCACTGATAATCACAACTTCTGTCATAGGGTGCAACAGTAAAGGTGGCCACAACACATAACATGACACACTATGTGTTTTAATGACTGTTACTCATTAAAAATAAGCCAATTATTCTCACAGACAGACAGCAACACACTTGCAATGTTGAAAAGAGTCAGTAGGTGGCACTGTTCCAACAGTATGAAACTTGTAGGTGACACGTTCACAATGTAATGTGTGTGTCTCTCTTTTGCATGTAGAGCTAATATGAATGTGTTTGACAGAAACTGTTTTTAGGTGCAGGTAACAGACCAAGCAAAATATTACAATGCTGACAGGGCGAGATAATAGCAAGAAACCTAGCTTGTATTTTACACCTCAGGCAAGTTTTAATTAAGCTTTTCATAAGAACCAACAGGAAAAAGGCTTTAAAAGCTTTAAAAGTGTGTTTGTTCTGGGATTACAAGGAGTTTTGTTTGAAAGGGTAGCAGGTGTGCTAGTCTACACTCTGCTGCTGGAAGTCTCTCACGTGCTCGGCTGCAGGTCCAGAACCTGTGCTGCCAAACGTCTCCAGAGAGCAGGGCTGCTCCTTCTGCTCGAGGAACTCCTCTCAAGCCTGGCCGACACGTTTATTCTGCTCTGTATGTGCAGCAGAGCAGCAGCCCTTCATCTCACGTGTTCAGAGCTCCCTGCCAAATGATAGCCTCCCTGGATAGGCCCCCCTCACATTCCCCACCTCATGCCCAGTACCTTTAACTAGCCTGTTTCACCATAAGAAGTAATAAGGGGCCAAAAGAGAAATGGAAATAAGGTTCTGCAGCATGAAAGTGATTCACATTGTCATGACCTCCTTGATCTGTGCCAAAGCAAATGGGGAGAAATTGTGGCTTTGAACTGTCTGTTCTTTTCCAGCTCATTGATTTGAAGGATCACCATGCCTGGAATGCTCCAGCACCTCTGAGTGAAGCTCTAGTGAACAGACAGCACGATCATAAAGGCTCTGTCAATTTTAATACCCATAATTAACACACACAGATAACATCAAAGCTAAACCTCATGCTCTGCAAAAAAACCTAAGCATTAATGTTGCTTTTTTGCTCAATTGATCAAGTACATTTGGACCACATTATTTGGAGGGTCAGGGCATATTCACCTAAAATCTGATTGGCAGCCTGAGTGCTACCCCGCAGTTCCCCTACAAAAGTTATGATCAGCTGAACAGAAATTCATTCAGCCAGTATATTTAATATTAATAAAACCAAAAATTTAACCGAGCAATTTGAAATAAGCTATTGCTAAATGCAGGACTCACATAAATCCATAAATTGATTCCAGTACATCTTGTTTTAAGTGACTACAGATGGTACACAGTGATGTCTTAAAATGTTAAACTGTCCCTCCAGCTGGCTTTCACAACATATTAATGAACACCAGCTGCCTCACATCTGAACTGGTGGAAAATGTCGCTGTGCTGATAGTGCCGCTGACGCTAGAGGTTTTACATTTAGGTCTATTTGAGTATAAGCTTGGGCTGGGAGGCAGCAAACCACCGGGAGCTTCTAAAGTGCTGTGGTCATTCCTTGCATTTGTGTCCCATTAAAAACAAAATATCAATTATTGTTTGTCCAGAGGAGGCAAAAGAGAACAATCTAATACACCAGTGAGATCTGGATGGATGGTGAAAATATGGGGGTTACATTTAGGGAGTAATGTCCAGAAAAAGTTTAAGAGTCACCTTTACATTTAATTGTGGACCAAACAGCGAGGTCACCCAAGGTGAGCATATCTGATTGTCAGAGCAATAGTGTCAGTCAAAATTAAGTTTGAGCATTAAATGTAGCGAGTGTAGGCACCGCCTCAAATAAGGATAATTTATAACTCACAGCTCAATAGTAAATCATGATATGTGGTTCCAAGACAGACAGATGTTGGATGATTGTGACTGATTTTGCATATTCTGAACCAAAAATAAAAAAAACTTGGCTTATTTTTTGGTTGCCAATCAGAATGCATCATTTTATTTTTAGTGGCTACAATTAGGATTTCTCTTCCGAAAGATTACAAGACTGATGTCAGTGACAGGTTAAAAAACACCGGGTGAAGTGAACATAGATTCTGCAAAAGTTCTTAATTAGCTCTTACAGGCTGTATGCAAATCCGGCAGCCGCCTCGATAATTAGATGAGATGAGCTGTAGATAATCAGCATGTTTTTCCAGGCTAGTCTGTGTCAGCTGTTTCATTCTCCAGAATTTAAAATTATTTTTTGCTCCATCCATCTGTAAGCTGAATTGTCAGGGTCTGTGCTGTTTTCCTGGACTGACATTAAACATACCAAAAATCCAACCAAAAAGGAGTGACTTCAAATGTAACAGCTTGTGGAAACAGCTTAATGCTTGAATAGCAGACTTCATTTGAGTAAAGTGTTCCATGCGACAGGACACAGTACAGCACGGTTACCAGAGTCTGCACTTAAGGTTTATGGAGTGCTCAATAGCAAATAAAGACAATAGGAAACAAATTATCACATGAATATAATGTATAAAATATATACAATATCTAGCTATTTTAGAGAAATGAACCTTATTTCATCTTATTTTTATCATTTCATTACTGAATACTTAATTTGATTTATTATACAGATTTTTATTTTACTGTTATTTCATGTTACACATCTTAATTTGTTTCTTAAATTATTTCAGTTATAAAACTTTGAAAGTCACTCTGGGGCTCCATACTAAGTTTGGTTTAGGTGTCTGCTTAAGCAGTGCTGAGACAGATGACACCGCACTGCACCATACTGAAAGTGCACCACTTTCCGAGCAAATGACAATATGATTGTTTTTATATGACAAAAGTTCCTCAAACATTTACAGATTGGTGAATTAATGGACCACTTGACCTCTATACTACACGCTGCACCTCATACTTGGTTTGGTTATTAGTAAATGAAGACTGCCACAGCTGCCTGTTTATTCTCTTGGCTTAGGGCAGCTGGTACTTTGTTTCTTTTTGCTATTCGTTATGCAGTTGCAGTTCTGCCTAAACGGCTTGGATCCGACTTCCCATGCTGACAATTAGCTTCGAGTGTCCACTCTGAGGATAACGCTTTCACACATACAGCTTCTTTTTCACAGTGACTGTTTTGAACAGTTTGTGGACAAAGACTGTGCCACGTGGCAGTGTCATACTGAAATAATGGGATTATTTTTCCTTTCATTAGACGAGTGTAGGAATCTACTCTGCCTTCACAGGGAATACAAGACTGGCAAGGCAAAGTGAAAAGAAGAGAGGGGCCACGTGTATAAATTGCAGAGTACAGAAAGTGCACGAAGGAAAGAGACATGAAGAAGAAGATATGTGAAAGAGCTAATTGTGGGGAAAGAGAACGTCCTCTTCATATTGAAATACAGTATCAGTGACTGTCACCGACTCTAGGGGTGATTATGTAGCACTGCAAAGATTCCTACCAATCTTCTCTCAGTCTGAGGCAACCAAAGTTTATTTACACCTCCCATCTCGCACATCTCTCTCTGTAAAGAAATGAATATGCTGTGCACAATCTTCAAGGCTGATTTTATGTCTCAATGGTCTGTCAATTTCTGTGCAGCATGGAGGTTTAGCTACACTTCACTACTCTTGGTATTTTTCAAATTACACTGACATTAAGCGTTTTTCCCTTGTGCACAGGACGGAGCGGTTCTTTAAAGCATTAAAATGTAGAGACAATAAAATAAAAGATGGAGAGCTAAGTATTAAGCTAATCTACAACAACCTACTGTATAAAAAGAGGCTTTATATCATATTATTATAATATATTATTTAAAATTAAATTTAAATTACTTTAAGAGTCATCATCTCAGCAAATTTCAATGAAACTCTTGTGAAGGAGAACTGTATTTTTGCACCAGGCTGATTTCTTACCCAAAAAACAAAGTTTTACATTTTCAATAAAACCAAATTCAAGATTTAGACTCACAATGTTAATTTGATTTGATTTGATTTGATTTGATTTATTCTTTCAAGCATGTAGAAACAGTTGATATGACAACACACATAATTTTACACATAATCCAATATCAATCTGCTTATACCTAGTACATGCTTGAATGGAGTAGGAAAAAGTCAGACTTATCCAGTCCTACCCCATGACATCATCTTACCATCATTGGTTTGTAAGCAGTAAATGATTCACTTCTATCCACACAAGTATTATACTAAAAAAGATTATACAGTGTTAACATTCTTACATAATTACATTCTTAAGTAAATATCTTCTACACCACATAAGTAATATACTAAAAAATTATTACAAAGTGTTAACATTCATACACCACACCCACAATGTTCCATCTAATTAATCATTAAGCCTGTTCTTGCATATATCTTGATTGACACATACCTTTATATTTATGTTTAAACTCGTCAATTCTATTACTATT